CTTTTTGTTAAAAATTTTGAAGAAAACTGGCTAAGTGAAAAACATCTAGAGAGAGACCACTTGCACCCAAGAAAAGTAGTTACATTTATGAAAAACTCAACAACTTCAAAAATTTCTTCTAGAAAAGAGATAAAGCACCTATATATTACTTTTCAGTAAATGAGTGATAAACTCTAAACCTATTGATAAGTAGCATATGAAAACTAATTCTAAACAAAGTACTGTGCATGCAGTGAGCAATAAACTCTAAAGAAGTTAGCAGGTAGTGTATAAAACTATCTCTAAATAATAACTATTGACTTATTGCTACTAGTATACTTTCTGTTTTTACTATATGCTATTATATTTTTATAAAATATATATTTGAATTTTTTGGTAAAGATGATTGTTGAAAAGAGTTATAAGTTTATTATAACTTTTTTTGTTTTTTGCCTTTTTTTTTTCTTTTATATAATTTTTTTAGTTTTTATATTAATATTTTTTTTTAAAAACATTTTTTGATTTTAAATTTTTTTTATTAAATAGTTAGATTTTTTTTTTATTTAGAAAGTTAGAAAAATAAAAGTTAAAAGTAAAAAAAAAGAAAACAATTATAATGATTTAGAATATAAAAACTTTCTTGTAATATATTAGGTTTTTTAGTTGCAAAAAAATTTTGTATAAAGAAAAAGTTTACTATAGCAGATTAAACATGAGTAATTTAAACTTTGGTTGCAAAGAGCTGAGTTAGTTAGTACTTATATGTTTAGATCAAATAGATTGGCTAGGATGTCATGAAGTTAAGTTTGTTTAAAATAAATATAAAATTGATATAACATTGAGTTTAATAAAGTATTGCATGATTGTTAAATTTAAAAAAAAATAATTCAAATAATAATTTATATATAGTGTTGTAAAACAGGTTTTTACAATATAAAGTAGTTTGGTGTAGTAGCATAGTTTATATTTTATAGTTTATTTTATATTTTATATTTATATTATTTAACTTTATATTTATTAACTTATATTTTATATTAGATATTTATTATTTATTATATTTGTATTATGTATATTATTATTAGTATAAGTATTTAATAGAGAGTTAAAGCTACTGTGATACATAATGTGGTTAAAGTTATACATGACCCTCTACTCCTTTAACTATACCTTCAACTCCTTTAACACAACCCTCAATTCCTTCAACATATCTCTCAACTCCCTCAACTTCTTCAACGTAACCTCTAACTCCCTCAACATGTTTCTCAACTTCTTTAAATACAATGTTATATTACCCTTAATTTTCTTTTCTATTTTGTAAAAGGTATATAAAGAGAGCATTAATCCCTTCTTGTAAAAATAGATATCTATAGATCTCAAGATACCTCTTTCTCATAAAATTAGTCTTGTGAATTTTCTTTTATAATATATAATTCTCTTTAGGATCTCTAAAGAAGGTTATCCTCTTGTCTTATAATAAATAAAGATTAAAAATACACTATCCTAATACTGAACTGTTTACCTTCTGCTGTGAATACTTAATTGTATTCTATGTCCACCCTGTATATATTCCAATAGCAGAATCCCTGCACCGGGTGACCTTGTTACTGTGCTATGTGGTTACAAGAAGGCCATAGCATTGTAACAATAGTAACACATTTAAAATTTTTAATTTAAAGTTTATTTTGTAAATTTATTTATTATATAATTAGCTTTCATGATATATATCAAACTTTTTTATTAAATATATATCTATTCAAAAATCAAATAAAACTTTTTTAAAAATGTAAAAACAGGCTGTTTTTATTAACAACAACTTATATATTATAATAAAATAGTATTATTGTAATTATTTAACTATAATAACTTATAAAGTTATTAAATAAGAACAATAAATTAACAGGCTTAATTTAATCAAAAACTATATAATGAATTATACTATTTGTAATTAGATTAAACTATAAATAATATATAGATGGCAATATTAGAAAGGTATAGTTTGTAGAGTAAATGCGAATATAATTAAAAATCCGTGAAAAGATATAAAAAAAATAAGAACAACGCATTTATTACATCCAGTAAAAACAATAATCACATAAAATAAAGTAATTCATCTATCATTGACAATAGAGTTTCACTTTTATTGAATTTGTAAAAAAAGACGAGAATTGAATCGCGCATATAATATAATATATATGCTACTATAACTTTTAGATTATCTAACAAATTGTATTCTAATCAAACAATTATAAGTATAAATTTAGTAGACAAATACAAAATTAATTACCTAACATCAAATAAATAAAACATAATTTAATTATCTAACATCAAATAAATAAAACATAATTTAATTGTTTGTGTACTACTTTATAATACTGTAAAACAATGTTTTAAATGTTTAAATGAGAAACACGGGTAGACACCGTACGTACGTGTGTATGTATTGTACGTACGTAAATTATCTGTTATAATATGAAATCATGTGATTGAGCCTCAGTTATAAGTTACAGTACACAATTGATTATTCAATTGGTTAAAATTTAAAATTTGAAACGGTTGTACTGTACAGAAAAGGTTATTTGTGATCCTGTAAAAATTTTTTCCATAAGTTTAAAAGGACAACTGTATTACGCAAATAAGTACCGTTGAGTACACATGACGTACAGGGGAGACTTTCCTAGTTTTAGAATACAGAGTTAAAAAAAAAATGTAAAAATAGTAATCCCACCCAATAAAGTCAAACCTTAGTTTTTTTTAAATCTCAAAATACGCTAAAAAAAAATAAACTTGGTACGGATGTACGTTCGTACGTACATCCGTAATTCTGTAATTGACGGGTAAAGTTTTTTTTTTTAAAAAAAACAAGTTTGTAACGAGTGAAAACTTTAATAAATTCAGAAATTATAATCAAATATCACACAAAGGTCACTCCGGGTTTCAGCCTTTTATATAGTATGGACATTTTTTTAAGATTGAGGCGGTCTTTTAAAAAAAAAAAAAATTATAAAAAGATAAATGATATATAGAATATTAATTATAATATAATATAATACGTATTAAATAAAAATTAAGGTTATGATTAAAGAAGTATAGTACGTATAAAGACTATAAAGGCGCATCACTGCATTCTTTGCGTTAATAATAATCTTTTTTAGTGGTCAAACATATTGTAAGTTATATCAAAAAATAGGTAACTAGTGATTTACATAAATTGAAAATTCCAGATTTTTCCAAAAGGTACAAACACATAATCCGACTGTACAACAATAAATAAATAGATTATTCTTTAATAACCCAAATTTATAAAAAAAATTTCTAAGAAATAATCGATATATAGTAATAAAAAAAAGAAATCAGTTAATCACGTGAAAGATGAAAAAAAATGAAACCAACCAAATTATTTTAAATTTGTTTCATATTTACATAAATGTTAATTTTACATTTAAGAGTTTTCGATTGTTCGTAAAGTAATGTAACCTACGATAGCCATTTTTTCATTATCAGTTGATACAATTTACGTAGTACATATGCATGCACTAATGGATCTACATTGTAGCATATACATTATATACATTATATTAGTTATAATAACTTGTTAACTTGGTTTAAGTAACGAGAGAAATTAATTTAATTTATTTAAAAAGTTAATAAAATAAACACGTTTAGTTAATAATAATAATATTGTTGAGTAATATTGAGTAATATAGAGTGTGAATTAATAAAGTTGGCGTAATGGCGGTAATTTTCCACACATTTAAATATCTTTTTATTTTCTCATAAATTTAACAAGTTTTCGGATAGAATTTTAGTATTTTCGATACATACAAAACGGATATTTTACCCGCGTAGCGATGTGCGTTTGTGTGACTACAATACATATGTATGTAGATTTATAGATAGATAACATATATAGATTTTATAGATTTTATAAATTAAATAGATTATATAAGTTGTATAACTACTGTTAACTACGACATTCTCATTCTCATATGAATCAACCAATAAAAAAATTTTTAAAGAAAAAAGTCTAATCTTTTATTGGTCTGTTTGTTTGTTTATTCTTTAAATTAACAAATCCCATTGTTACCGTTATGTACATGAATAAGTTAGGCCGATAACAGATAATTACGGTCGTTTACGCCCGAATTATATGCAAATTATATGCAAATTATATGCTCGTTAAATGCGAGTAAGATGTCATCTTATATGCATAGAACATAATATGGATGAATTGTATGCAGCTTATGTTACGTAATTGCACAATGCGAATGATTCCCCCCTGTTTGACTTTTTGACATTTGTAAAATTTCTTAAATATATATCTCAAAATATCTCATCTCGGGTTTTATACCTTGAACTACCAAATGGGTAGATTTACTCCTTTGTGTTCGACTATATTAAGTGATTATCAACCAATCATATTTTTAGAACTTTTTCATTAGGAAATTTAGGTATAATTCTATCATTTTTTTTACATAACCAATTTTGGTAATGTAAGTGGCTAATCTTGTTCACTTATATTTGTTTCTCTTCTCTTCGCCGCTTGTTTCACCAATAGTGATACGTACGATGACTTCTTTTATACAATTACGCTTATTATGCGTTGTAAGTACATACTTGATAAATATATAAATATATAAAAATATTATTATAATTATATTGAAATTATATTGTATTTTTCATATTTATATATATGGATTATATTTTCAATTATTTTGTTTCAGGGTTCATACTTGATTCTCTGTGAAATAGAAATACCTCCGTTGACTTAAATTCTGAAAAGTCGACGTAGTTAAATTTAAATCACAGCTAATCAGTATTTGGTTTGGTTTCGTACGTTTTTTTTTTAATTTTTTTTTCTGTATAAAATTCCATTTTCTCCTTTTAATACTTTGGCGCCGGACTCGCCATTTTATTTCTTTGAAAAAAAAAAAGATTTCTCTCCTCGTTTTTTTTTCATATACTATTTAATATCATATATATAAATTTCATCGCATGAGAAAAGAATTCATATATTTCATTTAATGAAATCTCTTTACTTTCCGAGAGCTCTTTTACCGACGCAGACTATACCGATATCAACCCCTCCGTCGTTAGGAGATGCAAGAGTTCCAGGAACAGAATTAGTTATACCCCTCGGTATGGGTATACTATTTTTAAGTGGTCTTTGTACATTATACGTGATCGTTAGAACAATGTCACGATGGAAGACTACTCAAAGATCTTTACCGATGGCGTTGAGAGTGCCTTTTTATATTGCTATGTCAGGTAACGTTATATTATGGTGTGTATTTCTTTTGATCTTTTATCCTTTTATTAAATAGAAATAAATCTAATCATATTTATTATCATTTATTATCATCATTTATTTATTTATTCATTATTAGATTTCCTTTTGTTCTGCATACACGTTTTAAACCTGGTAAGTTTTTTTAAGTAATATATTAAAATGATTAAATTCAATTAAATTAAAAAATTAAAAATTTTCAAATATTAAAATATTACGAATAGGGATTTCCATTATTTGAAGGCAGACCATGGCCAACAGATGATTGCCGATTGATCGGAGGCGTAACATTCTTTTTTATATCATGTAATATGATACTCGTAGGATCATTAGCAATGTTAACTTTTTTAAGAATATGTAGAAAATGGTATATCGATTTGGGAAAATGTGATTACAAGTTATTTGCCTTTCTCATATCATTATCATTTGTCTTTACTATGGCTGGAATTTCAAGCTTTGGTCCTAGTAAATATTGGTAAGTAGTTAAAAGTAATTCGTATAATTTAATTTCGAATGTAAATTTGATGTAAATTTGATGTAAATTTGATGTATATTTGATGTATATTTGATGTAATTTTGATATGATTCAATGTCATTATTAATTCACGAATTGATTTATTATATATATATATATATTTATTTATTTATTTATTCAAATTTTTTAATTTCTTTTTTATTTAATTAGGTGTTTCATTACTCAAGATAGTCTTATAACACCAATAATAACGTTAGCCTTAAATTTTTCGATATTGGCAATTGTCGTATTTTGTTACGCAAAGACATTACGAGAATTAAATTCGATTCAATTAAAAAAAGATTATAAATCAAGATTTGATACTCTTTCAAAACATAAAAAGATTGAACCAATAGTAGTGAGAAAAATTATTGGTTATGTACTTATTTTCATTATTCAATGGACTCCCGCTATGATTTACGTCTTTTGTCAAATAATTGGTGTAAGTTATTAATAATAATATTATTGATAATAATAATAATAATAATAATAATAATTATAATGTTTTTATATTATTATTATTATAAGTTTTATTCCGTGCATCATCATTTGATTAATCATATCATTAATCATATCATTAATCATTTCATTAATCATATCATTAATCATATCATTAATCATATCATTAATCATTTCATTAATCATTAATCATATCATTAATCATATCATTAATCATATCATTAATCATATCATTAATCATTTCATTAATCATTAATCATTTCATTAATCATTAATCATATCATTAATCATTTTATTTTAAAATAGTATGATGAAATGTGGATTTACTTAGTAACTGATGCGACTGTAAACTTGGGTGGTATAGGAAACATGATACAATATATAATAAATGAAGGATGGCGTAATGATACAAGTGGAAACCTTAACGAAACTTGTGATATGTCAGCTGTAATAATTCCTGCTCCTTCTTCTAATGATTCGGATTATCCAAATAATTCTCCTGCTCCTACTATAAGTTTACCTTTTCATCATCAATCAAAATCAAGAATTAATGATTTGATGTCTATTAAAATTGATGATTCTAAACCAAAATTATTTTTACCTGATACTTTAAATAATAGTTCTCCTACTTTAGTTCCTAGTATTGAAAATTTAAAAAGTGATAGAAAAGATGATTTTAAAATGAAACAACAACGTGAAATTATACAAAGAGATATATCGGTTTCTTCTTCTTCATCACAAAGTGATCATAGTAATATTATGAATGAATTGGATAAAATTATTGTTAGACATAATGATGATGTTATAAGACATGGTGGTATTATGTCCAGGCAAAATGGTACCACTTTAACTCGTGAACAAAGTTTAAAAACTTTTAGAAAAAGTATTAAAAATAAGAATAATAGAAATGATACTGTAAGTTGGCATAGATTTGGAAGTGGTGGAAATAGTCGAACTTCAATAAGAGGTTTATTACAAAGAGTTGAAAGTTTTAGAAAAGTTAAAGACCCTAAAATTATTGATCCTAAAAATACTGCTGATGAAATCAAAGAAATTGATGAAGAAAATCTCCCCCCTGGTGGGAATTCGACCTATTCTTATCTATAATCAATTGGTTTAAATGTTTATTATAGAACGTTCTTTTTTTTATTCTTTTGGTATATGGAAAAAAAATCTTTATAATTATAATTATTATTTTTGGGAATTCTGGATTTTTTTTCATTATTAAATATAGTAACCGTATACGTACAATGTATATAAATTTTATTTTTAGTATATATATATATTATCATTATTTATATAGTTATCTGTTCTATCTATAGTTTTATTATTCTATTTCATCGCTGTTCTGTCTATAGTTTTATTATTTTATTTCATCGCTCGCTTCTGAAAAAATAACCTGGAACGTCGCATCGGCAAATGGATCAAAAAGGCAACGAAAAAAAAACAAAACAAACGAAAACATCGAAAAAAAAAATCGAAAAGGCGAAATCGAACTCAAAAATTCCAAAATAACAAACATTCTACATATTATCCATATCCAAACTATCCATACTATCAATACTATCCGAACCTTTCCCTTCCAACACGAAACTACGTATGAACTGACTGATTGAACCCTTATTAAAGAAAAATTTTTTTTTTCCAACTAAAAATGCAGTTGCTGCTGCTTTATGCGCTTCTTTTTATATTTTTTATATGGAAAGATGCGCATTGTACATTCTTTACTTAAAAAATTTGTAATTATATTGCTAGATCTGTGATTTTTAAGATATTTTTCACATGTACTTAACAGTACTGACAAGTATTGAAGGAGAAAATAAATAAACAAATTTTATCTCGATTTACATATTTTTTATATAATAAAAAAATAAAATACCATTGGTAAATCATTTGATCGATCGAGAGTCACTGATGTCGATATTTTTTTTTCTAACTTTGAAAAGATAAAAAGATAAACACACATTTAAATCGACCAAACGATAACGATAACACATGTGCAATTCAGTAAGAAATTATAATAAAAATAGTGTTGACTCGTAATCTACAGATTATCTTTACCTTATATATACTTTTTGAAAGTGATGATTAACGATGATATACAATGTTATAATTACTTGTCAAAAATTTAACCGGTTTCTCCTCATGTAAATTAACGATCGAAATAAATTACAACTAAACCAATTAAAAATTTGTTTAATAATCAATTTTTCTTTCAAATTTATTCTGTACAACAATTTTTTATTTTACCGAAAAAAAAAAAACAACCCTTAGAACATCGTAAAGTAATTCATTTGTACGCAATTTCAAACAAAGAATTATTTCAAACAAAGAATAACTTAAAAAAAATAAAAAAATAAAAAAATAAAAAAAAAAATGCTAAGCCTACCAAAGAAAAATACAACACTTGAAATAATTTTCGATAATGATACTTGTATAATGTATGGATTACCTGAAGAATCGGAAGGATGTAAATTAAAAGGAAAAGTATTGTTGACTAGTACTAAAGGATTGAAAATAAAAAGTTTTAATTTTGCTTTTATCGGTAAAACAAATGTTACTTGTTGTCCTTTTATAACTTCTACGAGACCTGAATGTATGTATCATTTTTTTTAAATAACGTTAATAATAGCATTAATAACGTTCATAATGTTTATAATTTTCGAAACTTTATAACATTAAAAACGTTAATAATGTTAATATAACTTTATAAGATAACAAAAGAGATTGTAATATTAACAACGGTTTATAACAATTCATATAGGTAACGAAACACAAACAGTATGTCGTAGAGAATGTTCATTCCCTTCACCTCCACGAATTCCTCCTGGAATTCAAGAATTTAAATTTGAAGTTGATCTTCCTGGTCATTTACCTTCTTCATTCAAAGGCACACGTGGAAAAATCGAATATTGGTGTTACGTAATTATAGAAAGACCAATGTTTCATGCTGATATATCAATAAAAAAACCTGTGATAATTCGACGTTCTTTAATACCAAATGATATATTAGCTTCACCAATTACTTTACAAGATCGTTTAACAACTTTTACTGAAGGTATATTAGATGAAAAAGTTCAATATCATATTAATGCTCCAATAATGGCTTATAGAGAAGGTGGGTTGGTTTCTATTCAATTATCTTTGAAACCATTAAGTTCCAATATAATTGTGAAATCGGTTGAATATGGTTTAAAAGAGGTTGTACATTATCATAAATCGGGTTTTCAAGATGATGATAATTTAAATAATTCAATAATAGATGAAAAATTTCCTCTTGGAAAAAAAACCATTACTTTAAATAATAATAATAATAATAATAATAATAATAGTAATAATAATAATAATAATAATAATAATAGTAATAATAATAATAATAATTCAGATTCAAATTCAAATTCAAATTCTCAAAATGATCCTAATTTAGTACAAATTAATTTTAGACTATGTCCTTGGGTAAATAGTGATCTTGATAGTTCATTAATTAATGTTATTCATCAACTTTCTTTCACTATTGAAATCGAAATTTCTCAACTAATTATTATTGAAGGAGAAAATTGTACTAGTGGTTTAATTGACAATTCTAATTCTACTTTAAATTCTTATTATGATAATTCCGATGATATTTCTGAAGAAGAAGAAAATCTTAATTATATTGATGATTATATTAATAGATTTAGATTTTCTTCGGTTTCTCGTTTTTCTAACTTTTCTTCTTACGCTGATTCGGAGATTAGAAATTCTTTTATTGAACCTAGAACAAGGCTATCAATATATCCTTCTCCTGCTTCTCCTCTTTCTTCTCCTCTTTCTGTTTCCGCTCCAAATAATTTTGATTCTCCTTATAGTTATAATGATTATCTTCGTCGTTCAAGTTTTTCTGATATACCTTCTCAAATTTTATATAATTCCGATACACCAAGTTCTCAATCATCTTCTCAGTATTCTGATGTAAACTTTCATCAATCATCAAGTACTATGTCTGATTTTCATCGTTCTTCTCACCGTTCTTCTCATCATTCTTCTCATCATTCTGATACAAACTTTCTACAATCTTCAAATGCTATGTCTGATTTTCATCGTTCTTCTCATCATTCTGATGTAAATTTTCGACAATCTTCAAACGCTATGTCTGATTTTCATCGTTCTTCTCATCATTCTGATGTAAATTTTCGACAATCTTCAAACGCTATGTCTGATTTTCAACGTTCTTCTCATGCTTCTCGTCATTCTGATGAAAACTTTCGACAATCTTCAACTTCAAACGCTATGTCTGATTTTCATCGTTCTTCTCGTTCTTCTCGTTCTTCTCGTTATTCTGTTGCTAACTTTCGACAATCACACCATTCTGATGTAAACCTTCAACAATCAAGATCTCTTAACATTCAAAGTTTAAATAATCTTATCAATCATCGTGAAACATTAAATAATACTACTTTGAAAAAAACAATTTCTCATAGAGAACAATTATCTTTAGAAATTCCATTAATTATAACAACAAAATCAAGTTATAGTTATCATTCAAATAGAACTAGTATGAGAAGTAATTTTAGAAATAGTATGATAAATAATATGGGAAGAAATTCTACAAATATTGATAATGAAAGATCTCCTCCTTATTCTATGGTTGATGAACCTCCGGCTTATATGTATGCAGCTTTAGTACCTCCTCCACCTCGTTATAATCAAGAGTGATGAATTATAATAATTATAATGAATGATATATTTATGTAATAACATTTTTTTAAAAAACAAATTTTTTTTTTGTATGTATTTATTTTATTATCTTCATTTATTAATGTAATAATTTAAATTGTATAATTTATTTCTATTTATCTATTGTTATATTCTTTTTATTTTTTTTTGGTGGATTGGTGAATTTTGTCTTTATTTTAGTCCTCCGAATTTATTTAATATATATTGTTAAAGTTTTGTGTAGAAGTTTTTGCTTCATGTCTTCAATAAATAAATATTCAATTAAAAAATTAATTTCTTTATTACATAATTTGTTAGTTGATAGATTAACTAATCTATATTACTTAGAGGTATTACCCGGGTCACGGGTCGAAAATTAACCCGGGTCAGAATTTAAAATAGCCAAAATTTGCTAAAATAATATTTTAATGTGTATTATATGTTGTACCTATATAATCATATTGATAGATTACAATTTTACTAAAGCCTTACCGAGATAGTACGTGACAGTTTTTGATAAGTCATGAGTCAAAAATTGTATTGTAGTATTGATAAAGACTAAAAAACTCGAAGAAATTTTTGATACCGTATAAGCGCGAAATAACGCTCATGGAAGTTATTTTGAAAATAGAATCCTTCAAAAATAGTTTATGTGGTCTCGAATTGGCATCCGTTGGCGTTCCGAATTAACGTGGAGTAGCATATAATAATTGTTGGAAAAATGATACACTCCATAAGTGCATCCTTTATAAGCGCACTTCACACACACTTTCTTTCCATAAGTGCACTTCACATACATTTCTTTCTATTAGTGCACATCATTTGATCCGTGTAATGTAGCGTGCAGTGTAAAAAAATTCAATGTGCACATGTAAGGATCGCACATGAAATTTTCTTATTTTAATATGAAGAAAGCATGTGCTCATATTAGTGTGCACATATTTTTCAAACTGAAATTTTTACACTGGTGATGTAACATTATATGTAGATTACATTCCGTAAGAGCACTTTTTTCTAATTACATACATTTATGAGGGATGTCTAAAGCAGAGCAGATCTTATAATATATTTATTGAATTAACTTTAGGATTAGAATCATCTTATATTAGGGATAGATTAGGTTTAAACCAATTATATATA